AAATTTATTTTGTTATATTATTAGATATATAAATTTGGAAATTGATAAATATGGAGTACAAAATAAAAATGGCAGAAATCACTTATCTTTGTTCAAGTATATGTATTGTGTATTTATCTTGAGTGATTGCTATGAAGTTTCCTTTTAGGATCTTTTGAGAATTTATTTGAGAATTAACAGTTATTGTAACTATATAAAAATAAACTGAAAACCAGTATATTATTTTTGAGGTAACAAAATGGTCGTGTAGCAAGTTTTAACTCCTATCCAAGTTTAATTTTACAGTTGGTATGTATATATACATAAAGCTTTCACATCTATAAAAATCAATAAATTACTACTTGAGATAATAGATATCTTCTTACCTGGACATAACAAAATTAGTAAGACTTATTCTTTAAATTAGAAAGGACCACACAATTTGGTAGTGAACCAAGTCAGATATACTTGGTGATTGACATGTTTCAATTTGTCCAATGTTCTACTGAAGTTGTGACTGCATTCTTCAACAGTATGAGGTCTAAGTGTTGAAGCGAAAGGAAACCAAGAGAAAAGTAAAAATAGTTTTATATTCATTTAAGTACATAGCATGCAAATTCCTTGGAAACTAACTCACAAGCTAACTCACTGTGAATTCTGTAATCTGAATAGAGCAGTTGCATATACATGTGAGAAAGAGATGAGTTATTTCTTCTATCAAATAACATTGATCATATTTCAATCTCGGATCATGATAGAATCAAACATTCATTCATGTTGAAGTAATAATAATTTATAGTCTATGTGCAATAGTTGCCTTATAAGGATTTTTTATTATTATAATAAGCACATAAGATCATACCATGAATCAAACATATAAATATATAAAAAATACATATCAATTAATGTGCTATAAAATTTACTCTCTGTCATAGAGCAGTAATGATGAATACAATTCGTGAATGAATATATTCATTCTAGACCTATATCCCAACCTTAATGAAGAACTGAAGATCACAATATTTTAAGAAGTTAGACATGTTTCATTTGGTAAAACATGATTATCAAAGGATGAGAACTATTGTGGCTATGAAGGAACTTACTATTTCAAGACTAAGCTCTATCGTTGTTGGGCGTAAATAGTGTGAAGTTCTGAGTATGGGCAAACAGATAATGTAACATGTGGAATTGATTTTGAGAAAAGACAGATTCCTGCAAAAATCAAGTAAAATCATTATGCAGTCAAAATCTCAATGGTTAATCAACCATTAAGTGCTAACTCATTAGAAGGAAAAGGAGGATGGTTTCCAAATCGCATAAAAACATGTACAAGTTCTCTTTATTTTTTGTGAAACATGTGCAAGTTCAGGAAACCAGTTCCAAAAATAGAGGAAGTTACAATAGAAATTGAATAATTACAGCATAGTAAAGCAAACAAAACATTCATGTAAAGTGGTTACCTCGTTTTTAGCAGCAACATCTTTCTGACCACCTTGAACTGGCTTCAATGCAAGTTAAAGGTAGTCCTGTGGAGTTATTTTGTGGTTGTCCTCGACCCAATCCAAATAAAAATCCTTTTGCAGAAAAGAAAAATGTATTTAATAGTTTCACAAACAAGAATAGAAGAAAATCTACAGTGATAATTAACAAATTGTGAATTACTTTAGGCAACCAAATGAAGCCTGGGGAGAACTGCCCAAGCTTAGAAGCACTGGCCTTTCCTCCAGAGGCTCTAACACGAATATGCCTAGTCATTTCAGTGAGGCAGTCAAGCGCAACTTCATCGATACCTCCCATCTAAATTACAGGATTAAAGAGATTATCAGGACAACTAACAAACAAACTGACTGTAGCAACAAGGAAATTCACTGAATCCTGAGGGAGAAGGGTTGAAAATCGCATATCAAAAGAAGCAAATGAAATCGAAGTTTCAGTGCTCCTAACCTGGTTATATACAAACATACTTGAAAGAAGGACTGCCAGGGAGAATATCTGTGTGCTATATGTACCCTGTCAAAAAGCAAAACAAAACAGAAATTTTTTTGAAACAACAATAAAACAAAAATTTATAAAAGGCAAAAGTCAGTGACAGGAAGGATAGAAAGGACAGAGGAAAAAACAAGGCATGTTCTGGAGTTATAGAGCTAGTTCCTTTAGTTTGTGTGGAAACTAACCATTTGATCATAAGCATCAATTCCTTCTGTGTCCAGCACTAATAAGTTGTATTCTATTCCATCAAGAGTTGTTCTCCTTAAAGGTGAACTCCACAGCCAAATACCTTTTGTGCATGCCGATGAGTTGCAGCCACTTGAAAATCGCTACTCCTGTGAAGAAGCTATTCGGCATACAACAGGCTGTCAGCTACATATTTTCGGTAAAGTAAGAAGCGGCACTAAGTTACACATGATAAGTTACATGGGAAAGTATACAAATATAAGTTAATAATAATAAAGATAATTGTGATGTCGTTGCAATAGACCTAGTTAATTACATAAATCAATGGAGTTTGTAAAAGAACAATAGCCACTGTACTATAGCTTTGACTCATAATTTGACTTTCATTGATGTATGAAAAGTACAAGAAACATTCTTTACATAGAGGATGACAAGTTCATTGCAGAAGGAAAAGAAAATAAAGAAATTACAGAAGCAATACAAAGGAAACTGAACAATGCTGAATGGTCTCCCCTCTAACATATAATTCCTGCAACTTTCCAAAACATAGAAGTAGATAAATCAGGAGTTGATACTTGATTCACAAAAGGTTTCAGATTTCTGCTTCTCAAAATGGCAAATCAGAGTAGCCATGTTCCATCTAAGGCTTAAACCCGTAAATGTAGGAACTATATGCTTCCATATATGGTGAACTCCAGTTGAAAGTTGAAATCCTCCAAAACATAGATTCTAATTTATCCATCAGTTTATCATGATTCGTCTCTCTTTTGATCCTCAAAACAAATGTATTTTTTTTGACATCGAGTATAATCGATACCTTCCCAAAATTATCAAATACATGAAATTCTAAGACTATACACAACCAATGATGATTTTCACATCCACAAGATAATGAAAGAGGAAAAGAAAAGATACATTACACAATAAAGGATATCTTGTACGTGATTTCTACTACTTCAATTAGAAAAAATAAATGAAAAAGATCTCACTCAACATTGTGTTTTAAATTGATGTCTAGCTTGGTGAAACTAAAAAATCATTGAAAATAAGAAGGGAGGCTTCAGAAAGTACGATACCTATATATCATCCATAAGTGTTTAGTGCATCTAATGCTTCAGGTGTGGAATTCACTAGGGTAACTGTGCAGCAAGAAGACATAGAAGGTGAAAAATCTTAATGTAAAAGAGAGTAAAGAATAAGAAAAACAAATGAAGATTTCTTCATCAGTGAATGTAACATTTGAAATGAAGCATTAACATTCTTTTAAGCCGTTTAAGAAAAGAGACCTTGAATCAGGAATTCACAATCATACATATAATTATATGGCATCTTCCTTTTAAGTTTTAAGAAATAGAGAGGCAATAATGAAAAAACAGTGTATAAATCTGAAGAATGAGATTTTTGAAATGTGTACCTGAGTTAGTTGTTATTGAATCATGTCACCTCATGGCAAGTGTTACAAATGGAAAACGGGAAAAAAATCCTAATGAGAGATTTTAATCTTGAAATTTCTCTACTCCCTTAGGAGAATACCACTACAACTGCGAGGTAGAGAGGCTCAATATTAGCCCACTTAACATGTCATGATAAATGACGACAAATATACTATATAATTAAGTAGTAATGTAGTATTATACCCAATCTAATACTTCACCAAGATGGAAAATATAACAGAGTGATGCAATGTAGGAACTAACAATAGTAAGGTACATAATTTTGCATTATACTATAGAATGTCATGACAATTAGGAATGAATTTTTTCAAAAAAATTATTCACCAACTTATTTTCATTGTAATTTAATAATTGTAATCCTAATCAAACTTAGGAAGAAACATATAGCAACCATTGAGTGAAATCTGGTGAAAAAAACAGAACAAACAGCGGCTCAAAATACAACACAAAAAAAGAATCAGTGAAAGGCTAAAATTGAATAGATATTCAACATCAAAATGAGGTGCGAGAAGTTAAATAATAAACAAACAGAGAAGATAAGCAAGAAAATTGACTGAAC